CAGGTGGCGGGCTAGGAGAAGACAGAAAAGCAGCCTGCAAAGCTCATGTTTGCCCAAGGTACACATCGCAACCTCCTGCAAGGCCAGGTGCACCAACCACAGGGAAAATGCACTGCATTTACTCCACAGAGCAGCAACCCTTTACTTTTCTCATTCAGCTTCTGATGATGCTCTTTATTTCTCCCATTTCAGACTGCTCAACTGACAACCTCCCTTGTCTTCCTCAAGTAGCCCCAAGCACAGCACAATGCCAGAGCCACTCTACACAAACATCATCTCTGTTCAAAAAGGCCTAAAACAAAACCAAACAACTTTGCCTACCTGTGTCTCAAGCTCCTGCTTTCAGTAATGTCTTTGTTGCACAACAACTTAATAGCTCAAATCCTGCTTCCCACGGTCCTCAGTGCCAGAACTACAGGCACTCAGAAACACTCAAACCACATTTTTTTATTACTACCTTACTTACAATGTTTGCTTCTTCTCTGAGTGTGCATGCAACAGGGGACATAGCAAAAGCCCACACAGAACACAGCCACCCATGCAGGCACAGGGCTGAGCAGTACCCCTGCTGTGTACACTTACCTCTACTACATGCAGGCTGATGTCCTTACTCAGCAAGCCATCCTTATCAGCTACAGCATGCCCAGGTGCTTGTGATTTCCTGTTTCTGAGAGTACTCCCAGCTAAATCATGGCACTGCTGAATTTAGAAAGCTATGTTATGTCTTCGTGCCATGTTTCCACACCACACACAGGCTGAGGACAGCCACATGAATGAAACTCTGAGGTTACAGAGCACTTTCCCTGTTGAAAACACTTAGCAAGGAAACCCACAGGGATTACTCATTCTAAACCTTTCCCACAGACAAAACACAAGTACCAGCATGCAGTCTTGCACCTCTGCATGTTCTAATGGAACATCATAGCAAAGGAGTGTGCTCAAGAAGCACAGTATGAAAAAAATTATACCTGCTCAACTGTTCTGTGCAACATTTTAAATTTAACACACAATAGCACACATTAATTACCACAAGGTTCCAACCTCCACTGCACACGTACATGATGGACAGACTGGAGATCAAATTGATGATTACAGTCCTAAGAGTGTCTGGCAGCCTTAGTTTAGTGTTTGTTTTAAACGTGGTTTTCTCACCCATAGAAGGAAATAAAAGTACAACTTTATCTTCTGAGAAAAAATACAGTGAAAAAATATTTCTCATTTCCTTTGAAGACAGAAGCCACCTAAAATAGAACATGCCAAAAACACAAAAGCTAAATATATGTATGCTATTTTTTTCTGAATATTTTCAATGAAAGCTCCTAAACACAAATTATGTAAATTACCCAGGCTATGTTTTTGTTTTGCAACAAAAAAATGAGTTAATTATCATGTTACCTGTAGTCTTGTAAAGTCATGCTAATGAAAACACAGATTGCAGTCACTTAAAATTTTGGTCCTGATCTGTTGTAGGTATGTAGCATTGAGCAATCAGATTTGTAACTGTATCGTGATGCAACGTGTACTAGAGTGAATTCATTCAGTTCCTAATGAAATGTGATCTGGGGACTCTTGCTCCACCTGGGTGATAATTGAGGCTGATCACAGATGGGTGTAGGAAAAAGCTGGGAAATACTTAAGCTCATTTTGCAGTTACTTTGAGCTCTTAGGAAATGGGTGATTGTTATATAGCAGCAGTCTGGAGATTTCTGCACATATAATAGAGGTAATGATAAAAAGTTTTTAACTTAGTTACAAATAATGTGATTATATTAATTTTAACAAAAGACTACTTTAATAAATTTTTCTCCTTTAGAGCTTTTGAAGTAAAAGTCAAATTAAAAAAAATTAAAGCGTGTAGCTTATCTGCTCAGACAGTTTCAAATAGAAGGTTAACTAAGCAAGTGGCTGTAGATCAGCCTTGTACAACCTGCTCTATGTGATGTCTGTGAACTTGAAATGCTGCTTTTGATAGCTGCTTGTTAATACAGTAAGCAATTCTGTGCAGGTTTCCCAAAACAAAGGATGGTCTGAAAGATAGTTCCTATTCTTGCTTATGGCAAAAACAAAGCAGTGTATTTTCTCTTCTGAAGCTATAGTAGCTCCACGTAAATCACAAACTGAAGAGCTGCTCCAGCATCTAAAATAAAAGAGGTCAAAAAAAAGTAGATCCCAACCTCATGAAAGTGCTTCAAAATCACTTAACAGTAGAAATTAGGCCGTGATTTCAAAGGTATCTGTCAGTATGTGCTACCAACTGAAAAAAGCTACTTCCCAATGATCCATACAAGTAGCAAAATACCTGTCTCTTATTGGAGTGTGACTGCAGCTCAGCTCTGGAGCAGATTCCTGCTTGAAGCCCTTCTATCTCTGCAGCAAAGCTGCTCCACTTTCTTCTCCTTTCCTTGATAAGGGTCATCTCAGTTTCTTAATGGAGATCTGCTGCCTGCAGACAGCAGCTCTTAACCAGCAGTTTCTCCTGAACTGTGAGCCTCTAGGCAATTGGAAGGCAAGGAAGTTTATCAATGGGGACTGGAGAACATCACCTCAGATGTAGCAAAGAGATGGAAAGAATGCTGCGTTTGTATTTTCCATGCCTGCTATTTATTCTGTGGAAATTCAGCTATTCTTGTAAAAAGAAAGCCATTGCTTTCTATGTTTGACCAAAAGCTTGAATACCTGTATTTCTACTGCAAATTGATACTATGTGTATGTGGTGGTGGTGTTTTCTTATCAGTATTTTTGCAGAATATATTCACAGCATTTATATTACAGGTGATGGACAATGGTTGTTGTTGTGGAAGTGCTGAGTTTTTTTGGCTTGGCTGGTTTGGTGTTGGCAGTGTTGGAAATGGTGGCTTTTTTCCTTTTTATTTTTTATTTTTTAAATAGTTTTTGTGGTTGTAAGACTCTGGACTTGAAGTGTTATTAACATTAAGGTGTTTGGAAACGCTTCAGTGCAATTCAAATCTCTGCAAGTACATAATACTGGTCTGGGATGAGGAATCATAAGAATTCATAGGCCAGCAAACCCCAGGTTTACAGCTTAGGTCCAACATATTCTCTAATAAGGTTATCGCCTTATCCTGTTCCTTTGGAAATTACTTTATATATTTTATTTAATATATTTTATATATTTTTATTATTTTATATATTATTATATATTTTTAAATATTAAAAAAAAATATGTATATATATTTGACTTTAGGTCAGAAAAAACTGTTGTGAGACCTGCTTGTAAAAGAAGTGTCATGGTTCTGCCCCACATTAGTCAAGAAGTAGATAATGTGGTTTTGTTAATCTTTTAAAGCAGTACAATCTAATTGGCATTTTTAAAATAAATAATCCACACAGAGTGTATCTTAGCCCGTTCTGAGATACTAGCCCACACTAATGCCTCTGCAGGGCATGGTAGGAGTGGTAGCAGATCCCAGTCAGTTGCTGAGGCTGCACTTCCACTCTTTGTTGTGGCTGGTCCTTATTACAAAAATACCTGATGACCCCTTTCTGTAGGGAGCATAGTGAAGGTCCCAGTGCCTCCTGTCAGTGGGTTAGCCAGCAAGGACAAAGGTCAGTGCTCTCCAGAACCCGAGGATGCTCAAGGTCACATTCCTGATCTTTGAAGTTGATGTTGGGACACTGTCCCTCCATCCTGTTGAATAGAAGCCACTGCACAGAAACAAATTCCAAATCTGAGGTCAGAAAGAGAGAGAAATAAATCATCAGCATAAGTTAGCATATTCTTTAGTGGAAAAAATCTGTTCTTCTGTACTCCAGAAATCATTTTCTGCTCAAGCACTTGAGGAGTTTTAACACCAGAGAGCAGACGTGGGAGTCCAGCAAATCAGCAAATCTAAGCTGTCTGGTACTCTAGCCACTTCTGTGCTGTTTGCAGCTTCTCAGCTATGCTTTATACGAAGATTATTTCTTCTGCATACATTTATCCTGACTTCAAAAGGAAAACAAGAAAGCCTACTCAGCTGTAAGAGCAAAGAGACCTTGCTGCAGGTGGTGAAATGGAAATTGCCAGCTGTGTGCAGCTGATCGAGTGGCTTGTGGACAGGTGCTGTACTCAGGCCTGTATGTTTTCTAAATGAAGCAGTGACTTGTTTTCCAAGGATAGGAGTGGAGATGGAATTACAGTCCAGGTACTTGGCTAGAGGCTATTCCTGCCCCATAGCAGACACCTGCACACATGTACAAAGATAGTGTTATGTTAAGGCTTGACTGGCAGCTAGAATTGGATTTAGTTCTGGGAGACTCAGTTCAACAAAAGTTCAAGGACCTGTGCTTTCCTATCTGGGAAAGGGTTTATCTGTCCAGTCCTATCAGCTACACTGAGTCAGATGGATGGTTTGGCTGAGACTTTTCAGAGGATGAGGACAAAGAAGAAGGGAAAGTAGAACTAGAGAGGAGGAAAAAAAAGAAAAAAAAAAAGTTGTTCCTTCCTTGAGGTTTTCATGAAAAAAAACACTGTTCCTACAGTCTGTGGACCGTTGGTGGAACTGACCTTAGTTTCCTTACTAGGATTCAGCTTAATTCTTCTGGAGCACACCAAAATAATTTAAGTTGGATGAGACCTCTGGAGACCATCTGGTCCAACCTCTACTCATGTTTCATTAAACCACAAAGCCAGGTCAGGATCCTCAGGCCTGTTGAAGTCCAGATACTCAGTATCCTCCCTGAACATCTTAATGCAGTGCTCCCTATTCTTCCTGTGGGAGATTTAGGTCAGGGTAGTGCCATTTCTTTCTGGGTTTCTAGCCTTAGACCACCAGGATTATACTTAATTTAGTGACAAGACAGTGCTTTCCCTATGAGATGTAAATTTGATTATAGCTTTTGTTTTTAACTATGATTTCTGTTGAAGAGTAAATGCAAGCTCTATGTAGTGATGCACAATCACCTGTGATTGAGCAAGGTGCCCCTCAGCAGCAGATGTCAATGCAAGTGCTGGCAACTTACTACATGCCATAATGTGCTGTCCCACCCCCACCCACCTTCTGATGCACTGGATCTAGTAGGCTTAGTCCTAACACTGTGCTGCGTGAGGGCAGTGCCAGGCAAGATGGAACATCCTTTTCTAGGCCTTTGCGTGACCCTCACAACCAGCAAGGGAAAAAACAAACAAAAAAACCCAAACCAACAACATAATAAGCAGCACACTAAGGTACTCAAATATCCATTGCAGCTTTGTCACACAGGGAGGTAGAACCACATCTATTTTATGTTGTTATGAATTAGACTATAGATTTTCCACTTGGCTTGCATCCTGAGCTGTAATTTTTATGGCTGGCTATGAGTGAAAATGAGCACTTCAGGCATGCCTAGACATGAAAATACTGTCTTCTGTAACCTATTTTTATAGATGTCCTCTTGTGTAAAAACTCACAGAATCTATGAATCCTACAGTTGTAATTGCTGTACCTGAATACCTGATCTTTGTCTATTGGTACCACCCCATCCATAGGTGCAGATTAAGTATTTTATATTAATTTATTCAGTGAAGACTTGCAGAAGGCAAATGACAGTGAACAAAAAGGCTTACCATAACTTGCTGTGCAACACTTCTTTCTCTGACAGCAGTACAACTCATGATGGAAGAGCAAAACGTTACCACAGAAGTCCCAGCAGCCCTAAAGCGCCTGGCCAAATACATAGTGAGGGGTTTCTATGGAGTAGAGTACTCCCTGGCCGTGGATGTACTGACCCGCTACCCCTGTGTGAAAGAGGATGACTTGTTACAGCTGCTCAAGTACGAACGCAAACAGCTGCGCACTGTTCTCAACACACTCAAGGCAGACAAGCTTGTGAAGCTGCGTATGCGAGTTGAAACAGGGCCTAATGGGAAGAGCACAAGACACAACTATTATTACATCAATTATAAGGTGCTGGTGGATGTGATAAAGTACAAACTGGACCATGTGCGGCGGAAGATAGAAGCAGATGAGCGGGATTCAACTACCAGGTCCTCCTTTAAATGTCCATCTTGTTCTAGCACATACACAGACCTGGAGGTCAATCAACTCTTTGATGTATTTACAGGTGTGTTTAATCATTTATTTGGTTTTTATCTTGAAGAATAACTGTGATAACATTAAATTGGCTCTTTTGGGAACTTTGCAAGGAAGGTGTATTTGTTAGGATTTACTTCGTTTGCTGATGGGCAAAGAGCCAAGGACAGGAAAAAAAGCTGGGAAATGAGGGTAAAAGGAAAAGCTCTTTGTAGAATAGGCCCAACGAGAGAAAATAAACTTGAGTGTAAGAGCCAGAGTTGGGAACCAGATTTAGGCTTCACCTTGCTAGGAATTAGACACTCTACCTGGGTTAAGACTACTCATCTGTCTTTAGTTCCATTTTCTCATATGGAAATGAATACATATTTATGTTACTCTACTCTGAATTTAAGTTAATCTTAGTGTCTTTGATGTTTCTGATGGAAGAGTTGGATGGATAAAGATGGATAAAGCAGTTTGCAGCCACCAACTGTAATAACCACAACAAAGACTGTCAGCAGAGGAGAGGTGTTCTTTCAGTCCTGTACTGGAAACAGAGAAGTTCAGGCTCCTCACAGGGCAACGTGACACATCCATAGCAGAAGTGGCATCAGAGTCTGGGGTTTCTCCTCCTTAAAATCAAAATAACTAGAGAGCACTTGTTCAAAAGGAGGTAAAATGGAATTCTATTGCAATATATTACCCTAAATGCAGCTATGATGCTAACATGTGGGTCATGGCACCTTGAAAGGATGCCAAAGCCAGTGAGAATGACCCATACTTTACAGTGATTAACTTGAAATTTCAAAGGTGAAGTTAGCATGCTGTCATTTGGCAAATTATCGCTTTGTTCTCATCCTAGAGACACTGATGTGCTACTGAAATGCAAAGATGAAGGCTGGTGATTATTTCATTTAGACACAAATGTAGGACTTAGTATATGTTTTAATGAAGTCTTTTTTGAACTGTGGAACTTCAAACTAAAACCAGCAGATGTTCTTTATGCTTGCAAATGTCTTTTCATATGTTTGTGAAGTTAGAAAAAGATCATTAAACAAGGAAAAAAACCCACCTTAGTATCTAATGCTACTGCAAGTCTAACCAACCTAAGTTTTCCCCCCAGCATGGCTACTTCTTTCTTGTACAACTAACATGAGAATAGTCTTTCTCCTCCCCCTCCCATACACCTCTACACACCACCACTCCTTCCCCCCCCCCCCCCCAACCAAAAAAAAAGCTAGAATTTGAATTCCTTTGGATGAAATGAACAAATGCAAAAACTCTGGTAAAGTTTAGAGTATTTTGGAAACTGTCCAGGTAGGACTTCTCAACAAGTTACTGTTTATCTTTTGTATTCTATGAACATGAGATTTTTTTTCAATTTTGATAACGTTGCAGAGACCTTCCGTTGTACTTACTGCAATACTGAAGTAGAGGAAGATGCCTCAGCACTGCCTAAGCGAGATGCTCGAACCTTGCTAGCAAAATTCAATGAGCAGATGGAACCTATCTTTGTGCTACTGCGTGAGACAGAAGACACTGTTCTACCATATGACTTGTTGGAACCTCAGCCAACAGCAATCCCAGGCATATCAGAAAGGTATAAGTATAACTCTCCTATCTCCTAATAATACAGTCTCTCCAACAACTTTCCAGTTGTACCATCTTTGAAATACCTAATTTAAAGGCCTGCTTTATTTGACTGTACATAATGGGAAACTCCTTAATGAAGAAGCCAGTTATTATCTACGGCATCTAAATTGTTATAAATTTACAGCTTTATTTTTGTTACATTATTTAAGGAGTTATATTCTAGACTTCTCCTTTGGTGAATATAGTTCACAGCCTTTTCCGTGATAAAGTAATGTTACTCTATGGGTATCCTTTATCTAGAAATGCATTACTACAGAAATCATGCAAAAAAATCAGTGGGTCAGAATCGCTTGCCTCTATTATGAGATAAGGGGCAATGAAAATTAGTTAAAACTAGAGAGAACCTGTTAAAGCTAGGCAACTAATAAGCTTCATTCTTGGTGGGGTTTTTTGTTGTTTTTTTGGTGGTGGTGGTGGTTTGAATGGGAAGTGAGGGTCTTGCTTGTATTTCATCTGTCCAAAATGGATGACATTTCATTTAGCTTTGACCAGAAGGTATGTTCAAGCATGCCAGAACCCTGCAGTAGACCTGAAAAATGGGCCACCAAAAATTCCTCTTTTGGCAATACATATAGTCAGAACTTAATTATTGATGTCCAAGATTCTGAGCGCAAGAAGAAAAAGAAAGAAAAAGCAACTAAAGAGCAACCTATCTGGATGTCAGAGAGCACTGTGGAAGGAGCAACAACAGCTACCATCAATAATGCTGGTAAGTTTTGAGCACTGACAAATAGTTCAGCAGCTTTACTACAATTAAATGTAGTTTTCCTAGAAAATGATGTGAAATTGGTTCATAATATACAATAGTTCTCCAATTCTGGTCTAGTGACTATCAAAACTTAGTTTCTGAAAACTATTCTTTAGAGTGGTTTAGATAATAATCCTAAAGCCAGAAGTTAAGTACCATGTCCTGAAATGTTCTCACTCTAGCCAGGCACCACTGGTATTACTTCTAAGCAGCAAGTTCTTCAAAATGCCTGCATTTTAGAGAATGCTAAACAAAGTAGGAAAAAAATATTTCATTTACATAGTATCTGGTAACTAAAAGCATTCATAGCTCTAACATATCGTGTGTTAGGAACAAATGCTTCTGAAGAAGCCGAAGAAACTGTTAAAGAAACTGTCAGTGAGAACGAAATCATCAAGACTCTTCTCATCCATGAATCCATGAAGTCACTGTCCAGCACTGACTATGCTCCTGCTGTCAAAAGCAAATTACCTGAATCAGGCAGTGACACTGAGTCTGAAAATGCCAAACACTCAAGTACAATAACAACAAAATTAGCAGGCAGCCCGTTTGAACAAGAAGAAGAGCAAGAATCACTAGATCCTATTTTAATGGTAGCTGCTCGGCCTTACTCATATGGTGAAATTAGTGAAAATCCAGAGCTTGTGTCTCTCATGACGAATGAAGAGAGAGAAGCTTATATAAAAGTTGTACAAGAAATGTTCCAGTCTGTGTTTGATTAAATACTATTGCACTGAATATACATGCCTGTATAGAATGGGTAAAGTTTTCTTTTGGATTAAGACAAAGTTAGCTTGATCATTTAACTCAGGATCTTAAATTCATAACAGATGAGTTATGCTTTGTTTGAATGCCTTTTGTTAGCAAGAAATACCACCTGTAGGAGGTAACTACAGTTCAAAACGCTAGCACTGCAGAAAAAGAGCCCAAAGTAACTACGGGTTTTCTGTTGTTTTAGTGCTTAGACTTCTTGTGAATGCTTTAATCAGTAATTTTGGAGCATAAATAATTCCAAAATGCAACTGAATATTGTGATCTGATTAAAATAAAGTTTCAAAAGCACTGTCATAATCTACTTAAAAAAAAAAAAAATCAGTCATTGTACCTGTATGGGAACAACTGATCACAGCCTGAACTTCTGACTGACCACCTGTGACAAGCAATGAGTCAGCTGCGGGAGCACAGGTGAAGGCGATTCACCTGTGTGATGGAAGGCGTGGAGTCTGGCTCCATCTTTCCTAGATCTCATTTAAGTGCTGACTGCCACTGAGGAAGGATCTCTTTCTGGAGATTGCTCCTCATGGAGTTTATTGTGAGCCTACAACATTAGTGAGCGTTTTTCATTTATTATCTTACCACTGTGATAATCCTACTTAGCCTAACCTCTGTACACCTATTGATTGTACAGTACCTTCCTCCTAGAATTTGCAAAAGTGAATCAAATTCTGATAGGGTTTGGTTTCACTCTGTTTCAGTACATTCTCCTAAATATTGGCTTGCAAGCCATTCTCTATGCATTAGTAATATCCCTCAGTTCAAAGAGCTGCTACTAAATTTTGTTAGCAATAGAAGAAAAATCAGTTCTGTATGTTAACTTTCATCTTAAAAGTTACAAAATGAAAAAAAAAACCCTAAAAATGCTTTTCACTTACTGTTCCATACAGCTATTCCTAAGGGGATAACAGCACAATGAAATTCAGAATTGGGAACAGTTTCAAAAAATGTCTGTTCCCATTTCAATGTTATTTCATTACAGAAGGCTGTACAGCAGGCATGAGCTGCAAGACAGCCATTTAGCCCCAACAGTTGCCTTTCACACTTATTTTTTCCCCCCTCAAGATGCCTAAAATAGATAATGTATTGTAATATTCATTTGGTCCAGATTGCTATGCAAGCAGTTTATCAAGCTGAAATTTCCATTCATACTCTTCTGCACTCATTTTAAGTGAGATTCTTTCTAATACTACTGGAAAGAAAGACGTTCTACTTGACTGGTACTGCATAAGAGCAGAAGCATTGGTATCAGAGTATAAGATACAGCTTAATTTCTTTGGCAAATATACTATTTTAGCAAGGAATAATTAAAGTAGAATATGAGAGTACAAACTTCCAAGAGAGGAACCTGTTTGAACATCAGGAAATACTTCTTCACTCTGATGATGACTGAGTGCTGGTTCCCTATAGGTTGTAATGTCTCCTGGGTTGTAGATTTCAAAGTTGGCTGCATGAGGTCCTGCGCAAGAGGCTCCAGGTGGCCCTGCTTAAGCAAAAGGGTTGGACAAAGTTACCTCCAAAGATACCTTCTAACCTCGTTTATTCTAGGATTCTGTGAAGAGAGAAAGTGTGAACAAAGGAATATCAAAAGTAGATGGATTAGTACGAAGAGAATTTAACTTACAGTGTCAGAGGTAAAAGAATGCAGAGGCTTCACTTGTCACAAAGTAACTCATCCACTATTGAAGAAAACTTTCAATAGTGGACGAGTTACTCTATGACAAGTGTTTCTTGTTTGAAAACAGTGTCAATTCTTTCTCCTGTCTCATGTGTCTCATTAACTGGGGCAGTTAGCCTGAGGTACAGCCTATGCATTACAGTACTAGTGCTCTGAACTGGAACACAATTACAAGGGCAGTTTCAATTCTTATTAGGCTACTTTAATCAACAACAAAAACCCTTAAACCCTCAACGCTATCAAATTATTAACAAAAACTAAGACAAAAAATGCTGTCTCTATATAGAAGTCTGCCATGGAATACTTTGTACTTCCAATTAAGATTTTGTAACCAAGATTTCCTTAAGCAATTACAACTCACAGAGCAAACACCATAATACAATTGACTCTGGCAAAGCTATACAGAAGAAGTTACTCTCACATCTCTAATCAGCATACAATAAAGAGAAGAACTTTTCACTAATATTTCTTATGGTTGGTTACTGTTGCCATTTTCTTCCCCTCAACACAACATCTTCCTGATGCTTATCACTATCATCAACTTTATTTTCACAATTAAAAACAATTCCTCATTTTCTTCCATGGATTTTGAAACAACATTCAATCCTGAAGTTGCAGCTAACGACTTCACCTACACTGTGCGCTATCAGCTTTTTTTATTGCTTCTGAAGCTGTTAGAGCAAGACTGCCTACAAGGAGCTATCCTGAGTACAAGGTCTTATATTTTTAACACCATGAAAGATTGTTCCCTGCTATGCCCACCAGCAGCAGTGGTATCATTCCTGCTGGTGTGACAAGGAGATCTGTGTTCCTTCTCTATGAGCATACACTGTTAGTGCTGAATGTATTTACGGTAAGCACTACTCTTTATCTTTTCTCATTCAAAATTATATTTAACCAATCCATCTGTACATCTAGACATCCCTCCTTAGTTTTGACATCTATTATAGTTGACCACCCTTCCTGCAGGATAATTTTCTGCTTCAACATCAATTGTAATTGCAATTTTATCTAATGCTGCCAAGCATTGCCTCATTTTCCAAAGTCACAATGGATGCACACTTTCTCAATTGCAATTTGATCCCTCATCAAAGCAAAGCCAGTGGCCCACCTGTACTACCCCTTCGTCTCAGTAAGTGTTGACAATCTTCACAGAATCCAGTCACAGGTTTTGCTCAAAATTTCATCACCAGAACAGGGCAAATCCATCAAAATGCATTATTCATATACAGCATTATTGAATGCTCACCTTGGAATGGTTTGTGCTCATGTTTCCTGAGCTTAACATTTAATGTGTAAACAATATTTTGCCAAAATAAGATGATGTCCTTTTTTAGGTTTACCGGATTCTGGTGTTCGTTTAGTGATTAAAAGCTTTCATTTTGTTTCATTTTCACTAGCTTGCTATGTGACTGTACTTTCCTTGTCCTCTACATGCAGCATCACAGTGACTTTAAAGCCTGCATGGTAACTGAATTGTCTTTAAACCTTTTAACATGTATAATTTTGCTTTTACAATCACCTCTTATCTCTGATCTGCCACTTAAAAATCCATTCATAAAAGCTGAGGCTCAGAATCAAAAAATAATAAAAAGGGAAACCACAGTAGAATCACACTCATTTTATTCAAACTTCATTCTACTTTGTGTATATTGAACCTTCACTACTACTAAAATGTCTTCCATACAGTATAGCCATACTAAATACTAACCAAAAAGGAAGCAAATTCTGAACTTAAGGTAATCATTATGTTCTTGATTGCCTTGAAAACAGTCTTGTCCTAACAAATGGCGAACTGGATCACTACACTGCCAGTAGATACACTGGATAAACTATTTCTAGCTCAACTTTATGACTTCCTCTTACTAGGAATTCTGATATAAGTAGGAATATGAAAGAGCAAATAAAATTTTTATTCTGACGTAGTTTTCAATCTACTTTTCTATAACCCTATTTCTGCCTTTGCCATGACTGTATTAGGTACCAACTTAAACTCTTTTTTTGTTATTAATTTTTTTTTAAATATACGGTAACTTTAATAGTAATTTTCTATACATCTTCCTTTTTACAACCAAAACCATTCACAAAGTTAAATACTTAAAGAAAAAATTCTACAGGTATTCACTTACAGCAATTTTAAGTGCCACATGTGAAAGGATATTAAAATTTTCAGCCAAGTTTATCCTGTTTCATACTGAAAAGAAAATAATAAAGAACTGGAAATAGTAAAATAAAAAAATAGATGTTTTCTGCAATTAACAACAAAACAGGGTATCTACTTCACCTCTGACAAATGTGCTGACAGATATTAATTCCACAGGCCATGAACGAGAGTAATTTTTACAGGCCAGCTATACTTAGGCTATAAGGCAAGGAGGAGATGCAGACGTTTACATGTCACACTTGTAGAAGACTGAGAAACTGTGAGACAAGAGTTTCTTCTCACAGGAAAACTAACAGCATTTCTCTGAACAGGACCAGCAAACTATAAACACACCAACACTTAGGTCAGTTAGCTTCCAAGAACTCCTCATATCATTTTATAAGCCTGAGGAAATTTTTCCAAAAGACGAATTTACAGACAAGTCCAAACTTTATTTAAAACTACAATTTTGAACAAATTTTTAAAATTACTGAACAAGTCACAATAAAAAAGATTAAGACAGAAAAAGAACAGTGCAGCAAAACTGAATAAAAGAAGATTCAGTTCCAGCTGTTCAAACTGCCACAGGCAGAAGTTAGCCTACTATTCTAAGAGGCAGCGTGTCAAAAACTATTTTACATTTTTATACACTTTCAGAATTTGTGAAATTAGTGCTGATTTTCCATATGCATTTGTATAGAGTTCACATATGCAGGTATCTTCAGATTATTCTCATGCACTTTGAGCTCCAAAAGTTTCTGTAAAATAAAGAATATACTCATTATTGTCTAATAGCTAACAAAGCATCATACAGAACCCTAACCACACTTCAACTCAATAAAGAATATGATCAATAATGGATACTTACAAGAAATATTTATCCTCGCCTCTTCTCCATAAGTACTTTAAATCATGGCCTACTTAAAGAAAAGCTACAGATATATCCCACTTACACAGATAAACACTGCCTTAGTCGCTAGCTACAGATTTTCTGTGGCACGGTGTTTTCATCCAGACTGTACCTACATCAGGCTTCCGCATTGATATTCACCAGACTGAGACGATGGACTTCTGCTAGCACAGTCATGACAAGCAAAATGGTGATAGGCAGAGTATGAAATGGAAGATGCTTCTTTGCATTATCTTGGAAGATTCTATGCTGTCACTACAACTGCAGTGGAGAAATGCTTTCATCAGCTAATGTTGTTTGAGGAATTGGGATTAGCTTGAAGGCCTTGGCTTCTCTGACATGGATAACCTGCACTGGATGTTGCAACTGTATCAGATGTGCCATCACTATAGGCAACCCAAGAAGAACTGGACAGTGTATATAATATATATGTATATATAGAGACACACACTCCACAAAAATATGTGCATGTTTTTCCCTTTTTGTGTTTCCCTTCAGCCTGCAATCAACAGAGAGATAATCTGCACCCCAACCCTCTACTGCTGCTGACCAGACTCATGGAACATTGTGACACTGTGGTGGTAACTATCTCTGCATTCCCATAACAAACCCTTACTTTTGTTTTCTAATCTTTTGTTATTGTTTTCTTCACCCCACTTCCTATCCCAGCTCTACATAACTGAAACTTTTATAATAATAAACTGGCTAGGAAAATATTTTACTCTTTTCTGAGACTTACATCAGGTATCCATAAATCACAAGTCATCTCACCTCTGATAATTGGAACAATACCATGACATTTCACAACATCAGTATCCTATCAAACCATAAATAAATTGACTTACATTACCATAAAGTTTTTGTAGCTGCAGAAGTTGTTTCATGAAAACGACAATGAAAATATTTACTGTCATCATACACATCAAGTTTTTCTAATTTGCAGTATTCCTTATAACAAAAATCATTTTGTTGTTCCCAAAGAGAGATTCTGCTATTATGTAAACTCAGTTGAACTTCTGTATTACAAAAAACACTGAACAATCTGCCAACAAGTTATATTGAGCATTACTGAATTAGAAACTAGCAATTAAAATGTAAAATATTAAAACAAGCTTATAACAAGAAATGTAAACGTTGATTTATAAGTTTTAAAACACTTCAGTTACACTATGCAATTTAAATGTTAACTTTTATGATGTTTAGTCAAAGAATCTAACAGGAATGTATATAAGGGACAACGAAGGCAAAATCTGTTCATACCAATAGATTGATTTCTAATGTGTAATGATAAAAAAATATCGGCACCACCGTGATTTCTATCTTTAGTCAGCGATAATAAGATATGTAAACTCTAAGGGTGTTTAGAATGTCTTCCCAACACGTGGAGATGATTTAGAAAATAATCCTTACCTGGTTCTTTCAGAGTTTGGGCATCTCCAACTAATTCTCGATCTTGCTGCCCACCTCCATCCAATAATTCATCAGACAAGCTGTTGGTTTGGGCCTCTGATGCTATTTTCTTCAATAAATCTGCCTTTATAACAAGTAAAACAAAACTCAGTTCTGCCTAATTCTTTTTGCTGTCCTGATAAGTAAGATATTTAGGGCACGCACTTCTAAATAATAACCCAACAAAACTCAGCAAAATACCTCTGAATAGACTGCAAGTTTAAGGGGCAAGTCTTCAACCTTCACAAAGTCATCTTCATCAGATTTTTGACTTATATTTCCAGAACCAGCTTCCTGTTAATAAAAATAGTGACATTTAGTGCCACTGTTTTATTTTTACTCAAAGTAAAGATTTTTAAACACTAAGTAGTGGATCAAACAGAAACACATACATTAAATTTGTAGAATTAAAATATACAAGATTGAAAACGACAAATAATACTGAAATATGAAAAAAAAAGTTATTTTAGATGCACGTCAACTGAAATGTACTCACATATTCATTCACCAACACAGGCGACTCTGTGTCAGGACTGCCAGCCATGGAGCTTTCTGAACTTCCAGCAGAGGACTTGTTTACTACACATGCTGCATCTAGCATTTGTGTTTCATTTTCTGGTAAAGATGAGCTTGATTCTTCCGCATTCATACTGGCTGTTATAAACGATTCTGGAGTATTCACTGCTAAAGGTGGTGTGTTCTCCACCACATTGAGGTAATGAGGTAACATTGTAGCTGCATCTTCTTCACCTAAAGCCACAGTTAAGTTTAAATTTAAAGTTTTATTTTTAATGTTTAGAGACACTAAAATATTCTGAGCATGCAAAATTACATTTTTTCTTAAATCATGATTCACAGTTACAAACGAGCAATGAAGGTGAACTATACTAGTATTTTCAACAGCAAGACAGAGTGAAAGGAAGCAGTAACAACAGTTAGAAGAAACATCCACACAACCTGGCTGCAATGGTCCTGACAAAAAAATAATTTTTTAGTTCTTAATCAGCTACATCTCAGAATAAATCTTTACAAACTATAAACTTATTTCAACTGCTAGTAAATGGTAGAAAAAACGAGCACCAGAAAAATCCAAACATCAAAATACTACAGACAAATTACTCAACTACAATTGTGTGTCAGTGGCTGCAACAATTATCTGAAATTCAGGCTAGCGTCAAACATCAAATATAACACACTTATGTACTTAAGATTACTTCAGGCTTCCTCTTCAGAAGGTTTACTGTGTCTGTATCAACACAGATGTATCTACTTAAATGACATTGTTCCATAAAAAAAAAAAAAAACAACCCAACAAAGCCTAGTAAATTCATGCAAGTTTCATCATCTTCCTCTTAGTTCCATATATCAGACACTGTCTGAGATAATTCTCAGAGTATGCAAATTCATATGGAAGTGTTAATCTCTCAATTAGCTTCATACTGGTCTTACCTTTAACAGATTGTTGTTCAGATGACAAAATATCACTGCCTTTTGACTTATTCAGTTCCTGGCTTGAAGTCTATTGGGGAAGGTGAAAATGACTTAGAATGAATTCTAATGATCAATTATCATAGTTTATTGCCAAATGCACTCTCCTTTGCTAGAAACACCTGTTCTATGTTTTTGTCTTAACTAGTATTAAAAACGTGCACATATTTCACAGTATTCACATGCAAATATATGCTATGAGTATTTACATATGAAATACGTCCATATGAAACAATAACGAAATCAGTGCAACAAGAAAAAAGATTTATATGAAGATATTTTTCTGAAAAGTTATGCACTGGCTTAGATTTCTTCTGTGTTTACAACCCTGGCGATACCTGTTCATTTTCAGTTGCTGTTTCATTGCTCGCTTGTAACGATGTCTGCACATCAACAGGTCCTTCCTCAAATTCTATTTCTTCATCTTCATTCTCATCTTCTCCACTGCCATAATTAGTGAGAGCTTGCGTTTCTGCTTTTGACAAACCTAAGGGTAAATAAGCATTAAACCATCTTCATACTGTAATTACGTACTGATCTAACTCATTCAATTTTCTCAGTAAGAACTCTCACTGATACATCTGACAGAGTAAGATGGCTGCAAATCCAAACCCATTTTGAGATTTACTACACTGACTAGTTCTTATTTCAAAGTATTCTTTCATATTATTATAGTGATGATATACTTTAAAGATCCAAACGATCTGCATAAGCCATGTTGCCAAAAAAATCGCTCACTACTGTGTTAGCTATTAAACAAATTATTGTGAAGAATGGAAATATAAGGGAAACCAAACCATGAGCTGTTGTTCTCAGATCTACTAATTACAAAGAGCAGAAGCTCCTCTCGTTGAAACATCTAACTCTTAACAAGGTATTAGTAAATACAGTTCTGGAGAATTTCTACTGGAAGAGATCTGTCTAGAAAATTTGTGACAGAAGCTGTTACTAAGAAGTGCTTAACAAAAATTCTGTTGTAAAATTAGTTGGTTAAAGCTGTGGTGAAAGCACTGAATAATGAGCCATAGAAAACACTTACTTATTGCCACTGGGCCACTCTCACTTTCTTCATCTTCCTCTTGGTCAGAAGCATCAGACTTGACGCTTTCAGGAACTTCATTACCATCATACGTTTCTAAGCCCTGTACTGGTTTGACAATTTCAGTCTCATCCTTGTCCTAGGAAAACAAGGAACACTGTGCAATTTCATGTTTGTTTATCTAAAGATTAAGTTATGGTTCCTGCCCTAAAGAGCAACCTCTTTTTCCCCTCAAAAATAAAATAAAAAAAATCTGGTGACTAAAAGCTACTGTTTAAGGACAGATAGCCATGAAACAAGTATCGCAGAGCCACTTCAGAAACAGCATCAGATCGTACTGTGACAGACCACACACTTCAGACACACCAGAAGGGATGCAACTGAATTATCAGAAAAGGCTCATATCAATTAACTAGTCTTAAGCATTTTTCTTTCAGTCGTTAAAAAGAGGAAGAAAGAAACACTGGCATTGTTACCTTCTACTGATTTTCCTCCGCTACTAAAGGGTCTCTAGTAGACATTAGGAATATTCCTAACTACTCATTTTCATTTATTTGACAGCTACTCAGCAGTTCCACTGCTGAATGATTTTTTAAATATCTTGAGTGAGAAAATTTTGTACAAATCTCAAGTAAAGCTTGGAGTTTTGCTCCAAATCTTACAGGAATCTTTTACACAGAAGCAAGCAAAAACAATGATACACAGATTTCCAATTTTACTTACAAAGTAGTATCACAGAAGCTCTAAGCTTTCTAGAAGAAAGCACTTACTCTATGCCCATACAAGTCTGTATATGCACTTATATTCAGTTTGGAGAAGAGGAGGCTTAGGGAAGACCTTATTTGCTCTCTACAACTACCTGAAGCGAGGCTGTGGTGAGGTGGGGGTCAGCCTCTTCTCCCATGTAACTAGCAATAGGACTAGAGGGAATGGCCTCGAGTTGTGCCAGGAGAGATTCAAGTTGGATGTTAGGAAAAAACTTCTCTGAAAGAGTGGTCAGGCACTGGAACAGGCTGCCCAGGGAGATGGTGGAGTCACCAACTCCAGAGGTGTTCAAGAAATGCTTAGATGTTGTACTGAGGGACATGGTTTAGTGGGAAATATTGGTGATAGGTGGATGGTTAGACTGGATGATGTTGGGTGTTTCTATGATTCTGCAGCCCATACAGGAAAGCTTTCAACACTACTTCATACATCACCTATATCTTATCCTTGGTTGGATACAAATTTGAAATACAACCCCTGTCCCCATACACAATGACTTTAAGTGATTTTTGAAACAAAGAAAAAAAGGAAATATTTCAGCTCCTAACATTTGTTAACTTGGAGAACATACAGGCCACTCAGTACCTCAACCACTCTGTGCCGTAAGGCACAACAACTCCTTCCTCCTTGAGGTGAAAAAATTACTTGCAAGATTAAAAAAAGAAAATGCTTGTTGCTACAAATAGTTAAGAACCATCTCAGCTCACTGTCCTTGCTACTTAAAGAACAAAGGAAAACTAAATTCTCAATGCTTTGAGTTGAGAATAGGGGGAACAGCCCCAGACCAAATCCTAAAAGAAAACTTTCATAGCTGTTTTATAATATAGAAAAAAGAATACTAATAAAGAAAGCTCCTAGCCTAAAGCTAATAAGAAAGAACACAAATCACTCCAGTTGCATAGCATTCAATATTAACTTTGCTCTTTTTAGACCTTCAAACTATCACTTTTAAAGTAAAAGTCATTCTACACAAAAGTTCAATTAGCAGGATTAAGGATGGTTATCTGTCTTTATTGATCTCAATGCACTTGTTGAAAGATAAGAAGATAATATTTTATGAGAAATAAATCAGTCTTTACACTGGCAATAACTAAGGAGACAATATACAAGTTATGTTTACTAAGGCATACAACAGAGTAACTGGTGAAGGCAGATTTTTTTTTTTTTTTGTAGTCGTTTTCCATACTGGCAACTCAATTAAACAAAGGAAGTTCATTTACTTCATTGAATTAAACCACTGAAAATATCATAAAGAAAATAAAAACCAAGATGCTTTATAAATTCATAAACACTAAGAAATTGATTGCTTACAGCTACTGGATTTGTATGATAGAAAACACTAAGTGAACTGTGAAATTATCTGAGGAATAAAATACAGTTTAGAAGCATAAACATACTTTGTCCTCATCGATATCTTCAGTAAATGAACAAACATCCACCTGGAGACCTTTTTCTGCCTAGAAGAAATACAAACTGTCTTCAATTCTAGACTGAAGTAACTTAGAAAAATATTGAACCAAACTAAGGCTTCCTGGAAGGCTGCCAGAAATGCCAGTCTTACCAAGAACTGCTATGTCAAAACAGTGGAAAGCAACAAGGAATTCCATATTATGAGATGTTTACACAGACATCTTCTCAATTTAAGAGTCACAAAACATTATAAGCATGCTTGGCCTTTTTAAAAAATAAAAAATAATAGAAAAAGAATGTTTACACAGGCTGTTTCTGCAGTCTGTGGTTAAATCATATTTAATTCCATAGCTTAATTACGCCAGCTCTGATCAAGACAGCCAGCTATGTTTTTAAGCATTGAATCTAAAACCAGTTACTTTGCAGGATTCAAGACAGCCACAGAATAGAGCAAAACCAGATGTGCCTCAGTCAGGATCCTGGATCTGAAAACTCTGAAAAACTGTACAGAGGTATTTACGTGGATCTGTACAGAACAGCCAGGACTGCCAGTTCTGGCTCATCTCTGGCTCCACTGAATCTAAACTTACAACAGCAACACAAGCACTGACCATAATTCCAATTCAGGAGAATAAAATAAATGCCAGATCTAAGTTGCCTCCGTGCATTCTTATGGCACGGGGCAAACCAATCCTTCATCTAACAAAGAAACAATCCACATAACGTAGGAAATCATACCCAAATCCCTCTCGATTCAGAGCATCTCTATAGACTTCCTTAAAGAAGGTAAAGAAGGTCTCCAGGTAGGTACAGTACTAGTATGTCTAACTTGAGGTATACTTAAGTTTAGCTGATGCTATGCTTTAAACTACTTGGACTTCATAGTTCATGACAGATTCACATTATCTACTGTTGACTTGAGAGATTTTTGTGTTTCTAAAGAAGGCTTAAAGGACACGTGAGTCATAACCATACTATGAAATAAGAAACAGTGAGATACTGATTTAATTAAATGCTACACTAACACGATCTGTTTTAGTGCTTCCTTTGTAAACAGTTCACATAACTCAAAATGAGTTCCTAAAAACTGCTAGCTAGAACAGATGGTATGAAAACTACTCCAAGGGAAGCCGTAGGAAGAGATGGAGAGATGATGAATTGGTACATTCATATGCTAAAATACTTAATTTGACTACTTGGTGACAGATGTTAATACTATTCCATGGCTGGATGAGCACATACACAATTTCCCTTCAATCAAAGTCTACACACATGTGGCAGACAGTAACTGTAATACAGGAAATCTCCCTTAAAGTGGAAAACAGTTCATGTTTCTACACAATCAATACTATGACTACACAGAAGTGATTTGTAAAAGCAAATAACTACCACTCCTCATATACAAACTTTGGGAAACAGACATTTAAGAAAAAGAAAGAAGACAAACCTCTTTAGCATAAGACTGCATCTCTTCGGCAGTTTCTATTTTGCGTTTACACCTCTGCTTTACAGAAATACTGTTACTGTCCAAGTCTTGCATGAGTTTAAAAAAGGCTAATTCATTAAATAATACTTCAGAAATCTCCACAAGAAGATCTTCCCCACAATCTTTTAATTTTCTACCTGCAAATTTTGCCAAGGAATCCTGCGAAAAGAAATGAATCTTCAGTTTCTGAAACAAGCTTTCACACTTCAAACACTAACTACTTGTCATACTGTTAGTAACTCTGAAAATCAGTTTAGTATATAATAGTTTGTAATCTTGTTTAAACAATTTGGTACCATTAATGCCAACTGAAAACTACTAACCTGAAGAATACTGCCAAGTTGCTTATGAAAGAACTTGACAAATTCTTTACTTTCATCATTCTGTTGTGTAAGAGTCAAGACCATACGTCTTACTGATGTCAGTAATTGAGAAGAACATACTTCATCCATGTGTTCCTAAAAAAGTATTACAGAACGAGCTTTGTTAACTCTTTAAGAAGTTAATCATCTCAAATACCGAGATATTTTGAACACCAAAAAGATGAAAATCAACAACTTAGCTGTTTTTCAAAAGTATCTCAAGTCACATCGTGTGCAATAGGCTGAGTTAAAATTATCAGTTCACCTGAGCAAGTATTTCAGAAACACATTTCCAAATATTTCTATTCAATTGGGTCAGCTACAAACAAAAATCTCTGTTCACGAGACAAAAGTCCACCAGCCCTGTGCAATCGAGAAGCCTTACCATTTCCTTCACTGGAATATTTAATCCTTATTTCCTTGTCAGAAATGTCTGTAACTCAGTATACATTGGCAGCTGTTGCTAAGATATGAGTTATCAATTTTATGCAGAAGTGGAAATTTGAAAGATATTTGATGGTAACCATATATCCAAGTAGTAACAACTTTTATTTATTTATAAACTTGTTCAAACATAAATCCAGTGTTTTGGTCCTGCCTTTCAAAAACTGAAATATATCCACATGGGTAGAAAATGGAAGCAAAGATGCCTGCTTTAGAACACACTAGACAAAACATTAACATTTAAAAGCTACTTTTATTGTCTTAAAACATGGAAAGGCTATGACATTTTCTACTAATTCAGTGTAAACAGTATTCTATGCAAGTGTGCAGCTCCTCTTCCTATTTTTCTAGTACACACTACTGCAAACAGTTCTTACCTTCAGAAAAGGAATGACCTCTTTCATAATTGCTTTAATCTGCCGGTCAAGCTGCTGAGTATCTATGCGAGGACATGGGACAGCAGAAACATCACTTGACTGTGGCACAGAAAGACATTCACTCGTGCTGGGACCTCATTTAAAAAAAAAAAAAAGAAAAAGTGTACGCATCTAAGTCATTTAACATTACTATTAAAGAAATATCAATTTCAAAGATATATATTTTCCTTTTAGAGTAAATCATATTTACTCAAGTACATTAAGAACCTACAAAACTTTGTTTTCAATATGAAGGAAGAAGAAAACAATTCAGCCAAATAAATTACTCTTGATATTTAGAATACTTATTCTCTAAAACTAAGTAAAATATGTATATATGTGCATACCTTCTAATTTAGCAGCAGTAGCACCCTGAAAATTACTAGAGCAGCCCTCAGAGCCAAGGGTACTTTCAGCTTCAATTTTCATACGCTCATATTCCCTCATCCTAGCCAAAGCTTGATCTAAGTGAATCACTGTGTTGCCTATATTTAGAATAAAAACATCTTTTAATCTAAATAAAAAGTTTTCAAAGGATAGACAAGAATACAACAATAAAAATGTAATGCTGTAGGTTTCGAAATTTACACAACTGCAGTTGCTATTATGTTCTTTTACACAAACTTTCATCACGTGTCTAATTGCTCAAAGTGCTGTATTAAAACCTGTGGTTACATATTAGATCATAAAAGTAACTACTCGAGTAGATGAATGTAGTCATTTCTGGAGAGCAGGTGAAGGAATAATACTTGTGATGTAAATCACACAATTCTTACCAAGGTCATCAGTGGCAAAGGGTTCAAAATGTGAAGATGTAGACATAGTACTCCCATTGTCCGCATCATTTTGTTCACAGTCCTGACATGCTTCTGTAGGGAAGTTCTTGTCAAACGTTTCCTAAAAAACATTCATCAGCTGAGTACAAAGCAGGGATGCACCATACTCTCACAGATGTGAGAATGAGCCAGCAACTTTTTTTAGCCACATGCTGTGATATTAAGGGCTTGTCACCAGGTTGTCATATCCTGAAAACAGGCAATTCTAGCATATTTTTTTCAAATACTTTAACTGTGTAAGCAAATAGGAAACTAGGTGGAGGTCTTGTTAGTTTTTTAAATATGAATAAATAAATAAATTCATTGGGAACCTTGTAACTGACCTTATTCACAGATATTGGCTATTTTTGAAAATCAATTTCCAATTTATACTGTCCATATTGTTTTCCATGTTACGTTCCTCCCTTACACATCAGTGATTTTTAGTGTAAAGAATTCTACCACACAAAAAGCTTTTACGAATTTTAGACAATTACGGTCATCACTATGAATATTTTGGTACATAAATTGAAAACAGGAAAAGCTGACAATGAACTAGCTTCTGAAATGAAAGCTTACATCATCTGTAGAAGCAAGACTTTCACTGGGAGTGAGTTCAGAGTTTGATGCTATCCATGTTGCAGTATTTAAAGATTTTATGCATTTCCCCTTCTCATTGTTCTCAGATAAATGTCTGGTCACTATATCCTGAAAAAAATAACTGTACTGTAAAAAGAACATCAACGATTTCTTCAATTGATACACAAGACTCTAAAGTTTGTGCATACCTGTAAAGCATATAGGGCCCTCTGTCTTAGGTAATCTGTGTTTAACAGCTGTAGCTCATGGAAAAGTTCAATAAGAAAGTGGGGCCGAGACTCATTCTGAGAAATAAGAGTTGCGACTTCAGAATAAATTGTGTCCCGCAAAGCTTCAAACATAGAAAGATCACTACCAGTTTCTGCAAGGAATAATAATTAAAAAAAAACATCAAAAGATCATTTCATGACACTAATCCAGTTGAAAAAAATGTGCTTGTTAATACAAGAGAATTAGATCTCCATTACACAGATACTTTCCTAAAGCTTACTCATCTCCTAAAGGCAATAAGGACTTGAACATAACAAATTCTGAAATCCTTTAAGTATGCAACATACAGTATTTGTGTCGATCACACTTTGTTCTTACAGTTCCAAACAGTATCTTAAGGAAGAATTCTTTATTGAATAGAATATTGCACACACCACAACGTTGCTTTCAGTTCTGAAACACATTCAGTGCTGAACACAGACTTTTAAAGCATTTCAATTAAAAAATCCAAAGGTCTCAACCTTTCTACATCTCCCACACATAAATCTTATATTTCCATGCCTTTCTGATATTTAATAAAGCCTCTTACCTCTAAGCACCATTACAAGTTTGCAAGAACATAATGTTCTAGTAAGCTCTAATTCCTAGTAAGTCACAAATTCCTTTAAGAATTGAAATTATCATCCCTATATATACATATATGCATATATATATATATATTAAAAACTCTTCTGTTAATACAAACATACTTTGGCATGTGTTGAATGGAAAAACAAAGTTAAAGTTTGAAAAACTCAGAGTTTAACAGATGCACATTTGTTAATATTCAAGTTAATTAAATTATAAGCAGTGCAGAAAACTTTACTGTACAATTTGATTCTCTGCCAATAGTATACCAGCTTTAGCCACAAAGGCAAGCTTTTTCAGTCTGTTATAAAACACTGAAGATTGCTTCCCTTACCCATTACTAAATTGTAACAGCAGATTTTCCACACAAAAAATGCCTACATCACTTTTTTGTCATAGACCCTATTTTCCACGCATAATTTTGACTGACTGCGAACACGCAGACACGTTATCCACAATTATAATTCGAGGCAGTTTGTGTTGTTGCATTCCATGCTTATTACATGGAATTGCCTCTTACCTCATTTATAGAGAAGCTGTTGCAATTGTGCTAGTTTTGAACATCTGCTAAACAGTCCGAGTAACAGGACCAAAGCTAAGGGGAGCAGGAGGCAGCGGGGGAGAATAACAGGACATCGTTGAAGCTAAGCAATGAATGCATTACCTGGTGCTTCAATGCATGCATTTCTGTTAGACTGCTGCAGAATTCTCCTAGCATGTGCTGTAGGAAAGTGGGGATAGACAGTGATAAACACAAAAACGCGCACCAGAAATTAAGACAGGGTCTATACAAAACAGCAGGAGGAAGACTGCTTAATCATCCAAACCACATCGCTGCTTATTGTGAAAACTAAACTGGCAAAGTTTATATAATAAACACTAATAAACAGCTCTCAGTGTGGACTCAATTACATTGACAAAGCTGTACATCATGCTACTATGACTAAAACATCTGCATGATTCAAACAAGATACTGGCAGAATCTAAAAAGACACAGAAGAGTATTTTTATGACACGGATGCGAGAAAAGCAGTGCAGATGGCAAAAATGTAAGGGTTTACATGATATGATTTAATTTGAATGATACTTCATCAAGCTTCTTTAAGCACAAAGAAAACAAGCATGCAGTACCAGATGTCATTAGAATGGTGAACAGTTTCATCTGCTGTTCATAGAAATGCCAACAAATAAGATTTTTGATCAACTAGGATTTTTTCTGTCTCAAGTTAAAGCTTGTTTCTAAATATTTTAATCAAGTACCCAATCTACAGTAAACACACAACATCAGTCAGTACCCAAACATTACATGCATTTACGTTTACTGAAAGCTTAGAAATTAAAAAGCAAAATCCACATAAGCTGAAGTGCATCACTGCTGTCTTGTTACCAACACACTGCTTTTAAGCAATAAAGTTGTAACTAATTATAGTTACACAAAGTTTACACAAATAACAATTACTGAAATTCAGAAAAGAATACCTGAAGACATTTCAGTAGATCTACTGTATTTAATTATTTTTTCCAGTTGTTCCCGGTTCTTCTTGCTGAACACCTTTGCATGAACAACCTCCTCAGAGTGTTTACTTTTAGTGCTTTTGTAGGGTTCACACACACTAGAAGCACTCGCACTGTCATAACCTTATGGGAAGAAGTGGAAAGGGAAATCACAAAGAGTTTTCTTACTTCCATACATAGGTTCAAGGGCAATTTCAAAATGAAAAAACAACTATCTTTCAGATTTTCCTTTGTTTGCTGAGGTGATACAGCAGCACCAAATTCTCAATGACTGCAGCAGTAGTATGTCTGCCAGCAGTGTCCATCTCATTCCAGACTGATTCTGTATTTTACTGAAATACCTTCCTCAGTAAGTCACCCAGTCAGAACACGAAGACTTAATGAAGAGGAAGGCACCTCATCTCTTATTGCATCTGTACCCACTTACGCACTCAAACCAGGATTCCTAATAATTTATGGCTTTATTTGCTGAAATACTCAAAAACTTTAGTGTAATTGTGTCACAAAAATGAATTCATATTTCAGTAAGATGTATTTCAAGAACTCACTATAAATACCACTTACGGATAGTAAATTCTCTGGAATAGAGCGACTATAATCCATATTCAGTTTGCCACAGCATATAAGATTATTTGCAACCTACCAGTATTCTTAATTCTGCCTTTTAGCTGAGAAGAATTCTTCCTCTTATTCTTCGATTTGGGTGTTTTATCTTTTGATGCCAAGCTTGCCTGAGCTGAAGCTTTCCTAGATTTAAATGTCTTTGTCACAGTAGTTGGGTCAACTGGATCAGGCATACTACTAAAACTCTCCAAGGACTCTTCATCAAAGTTTCTTCTCCTGCTCGTATCAGAGTGATTTTTATGACCCGAAGCAGTGCTCTGTACTGAAACTGGAAAGCCTGCTTTCAGTTGAGATTGATCATCTTTTTTCACTTCCTGGCTATCATTAAGCCAAGCTGATCTTTTTTCCATTTCATCTTCAGGTTGCCTATGACTCCTTCCATCAAAAGGAAAAAACAACATAACATATCACAACCTGCCTTCTCAGACAGAAGCAGCATGTATTACCAGACAAACAAAGAGTTTCATCTGTAGCGTAAGATATCTTCCCTAGTTACTCAGTCATCAGCTGAACACTGACATTTAAAAAACATGTAGCAAGTTCCTTTCTTGGAATGGAAAAATGAAGACATCTGAAGAAATTCACATTTCTGACTGACTGCAACCTGAATATGGTTATGTACCTTGAATTACACTGAAGAGTATTATAAGACAAAACACTCTTTAAACAATATTCATTACTACCTACAGTAGCATTAAAAAAATAAAATCACTTTGAAGCTATTTGTATCTTCTTGTTATCTTGATTGCTCAAGTTCAAAACAGAAACCTCCCTCCACAGACAAAAATGTATCACAGAATACTACAACACTACATTGAAGGTTGGAATATTTCTGAAACAATACATGACTTAATACACAGAAAAACAGAACACAAATGAAAAGAAAAAAACCAAAAAACATATCGAAACTTAAAAATTAAACCTCATCTTGTAAGTTAACTTTACACATAAGTTCCCAAAAATAACCCTAGTCCTGTGGGGCTAAAGCAAGGTGTAACAATAGTGGTTACAGGAGAGTTGCACTGTGACAAAACATACCTTTGGTTTTCTGCTCCATTACAGGAACTGCTTTCAAAAGGTTTGGGGAATGCCATATATTCAGTTTTTCCAGAAGTATTATGATCTAGAGGATGTTGCTGCTGCTCACTGCTTTGTGGAAAACCACTGCGTGCAAAATCTCCAAAGCCAGAAGGAAACACTGGATTGTAGTTTATACCTACAAAATAAACAAGAATGACATAAGTTACTACATCATTTATCCACACACTGTACGTCAAGTCTGAGACACTGAGTGGCGCCTTGTAATGCTGAAACAAAAAAAATGTGGTAGGGAAATAAGAAAAAACTACTCTTGGCCTGAAAAGGTTGCAATTACGAGAAATTTATCTTCAATGCAGGTGTCAAACATGATTGGAAACTGCACATACCACTACAACTCCACCAGTGTACAGATGAAGACATTTCAAGAATACACACTCCTACAAGTGAGGTAAAAATTGTAAGTTCCTATAAAGAAAATAAAAAACCCAGAGTTCTGTGTGTGAAGACTACCAGCTCTTCAGTGATCAAGTTCACAGGAAAATTCCAACAGTGCAAGTATTCACATGGTCAAAGAACATATAATGCTTACTTTAACTTCAGAATCTTCATCGAAGTAACAAACTGAGCATAATTACTCTTCTGTGTAGATTCTGTGTAATTTAAATAATAACTGAGAGACATAGCTGGTAGCTTTCAGATTATGCTGATTTTCTAAAAAGGCTAAAATATTACTGCTTAAGACAATTCAGGAATCGCTTTTTTTTTTTTTTTTTTAAGACACAGTAGAATACATTATTTGCCCTATTTCAAGTTAAACAGTAAAAGAGTTGGTAATGAGATTAGGAACACTGTATCCAAATCAGTAGTTACTCAATTATTCTGATACAAACAAAAATTGGTAACACATTGCTATTTGCCATATTTCAAAATAAGCACTCTAAGTCCTAACCAAAAGAGATACAAACTTCTTTTCATATAAATACTGTAACTTCAAGTACTTCAATTTCAATCTGAAGGACAAGACAGAGTTCCATTAAATTAACACAGAATGAGAGGGCAGAAATTAAAAAAAAAATCATATTACTTTTCACACTTGCAGTAATACTCACCTGGAGCAAATGAAGAAATATTAGTAAATCCCGGTATATTAAACAGGTTCACAGGCTGTGGAGGAAAGCTGAATGGACAGAAAACAGGAGATGGAGGTGGTGGTGCACTACTGCCTCTCTCTTTTCTTGATGGCTTCTCTTGACACTGTTGTTCTTGCTGGTGCATTAAATCATTTAGCATTTGTTTCAATCTTGAAAACAAGGAGGAAAAAGAGTGCCTCAAAATTTAAACACCACAAGAGAAAATAACTTGATAGAAATCCAATAACCAGCGGGATTGGTAGCAGTAGACAACACCATGCAAATAAAACCACAACTTCACTAATAGAGCTTAACTTAATACTTAACTTAATACACTAAGTCATAACATAAACAATTCTTAAACTGAAATTCCTTGACTCGACAGCAATTCTGGTACTAGCCAGCATAGCCACTAAGTGCGCCCTTGATGCTCGGGCTGACAAAAAATTGTAAATCTATTCCACTCACTAATTTGAGATTTGTATTTCACCTGTCCATGTATCCATTTACACACACAAACTATGTTTTCAGTACATATGTGAAGAAAGTCATTTGGCCAGTCAAAAAGTAGCTCTCATTTAATTCTAAGCAACAGACACACACAGTTTAAAATCAACAGATCTGTCATTGTGGTCACATTCACAGAAATTAAACATGCTGGTGTGAATGATTAAAAAAAAAAAAAGTCACCCAGCAAGAAGCAAGCAGCTTGGAAACAAAATTAAATGGAAACAACAGAAGAAGCAAAGTATTTGCAGCAACTGCCATCTAAATTACTTTAAAACATTATGCAAAAAGGGCTGGTAACTACGTATCACTTATCAAGCACAAAACAGAGATGAAGATTTTGAAATTTCATACCATGAAATGAAACTGCTACTGTTTTTATTTTTTTTACTTCAAAAAGATTATTTTTTCAGAAGATGTAAGGAGTACATTCAAACGCAGCATTACTATGTACACATCATGACTGAAAAATCTAAGCAAGGACAAAGCTTTTCCAACATCTTTCCATTACACAGTCAGAATCCAGAATCTATCCAGGTCATCTGCCAAAAACCAAAGGCATATACTGAAGCATTTCAAATTATACAGCTAAATCCTAATACAAACCTTTGGACGTTATTCTGCTGCCAAGACAGTTGAGTATAACACTGGTTTAACTGATGCATAATAAGATGTACTTGTGAAGATGCAACATTATTGGGCATCATATTGTATGGGCCTGCAAGCAAAGTCTGTAGAAAACAGGATAGGGTCTGTGGAAAGAAAACAACAGAGACCAAATTACCAAAATTAGAAGTTATCACTAGAAAAATTTAGGAAAACACTGAACTAGAACACCGAATTAACTGCTCTTCATGCCTACCTGCTGATCTTGCATTAAAGTCTGGCAAATGCTAACACTAAATTCAAGCTGTTTCTTCAACTGATTGATCTGTTCTTGCCATTGTTCTTTTTCCTCCACATAAGAAAGCTCCGATATCCACCGAAAGTTTTCCTGGCGTCTCATACTGATGTTTTGCTGCTGCCTAGTTTTAGACATTGGTCGATAATTCCCATCTGCTGAAAGAGGACGGCAATTCTTCCACCTAAGGCAGGGAAGAAGCAGAAAGTAAGAATGAGAACAAAAGCTGACATTTCAGACCTTCCTATTAGGGCTGCTTCAATCATCAAATTTTCAGTTGTACGTAGAACAATCAACATAATGCAGTAAGAAGCAGCACAGGTTCCAAAAAGAATGTCTCATGCATTAGCACTGATTAAGATTGTTTTTCACTAATAAAAACCAGAGGAAAGTAATTATAATTTTCTGAATCATTGATTTTGAAGAGACACCAAAAATTCACATAAGTCATCTGCTATGCTGACTGAAACACAACATGAGGACACAACACAACACAACAAGGTAATTGAATGGCAGGCAATATTTAACAGAGGAATACAGAATAACCAAAATTTATCATACACGTAGCTACAGAGGCTAAGATAAGAAAATGCCACTGCATACATCTCACTAGCACACAGAGAAATTTCACTTTGATGTAGTAGGGTGCTTTGCATTTAGTGCAACGGTCTTTCTACCCCTTCCAAAAACACCCTCACAAGCATTAAATTAACAAGTAATGCCACTTACCTGTCCTTATTTCCTTTGAGATAATACACACTTTCTGGTATTTGGTTATTGGGATAAACGGAATAGCTGTCATTCATACTTGGAGCGTCTTCCTCCTCTTCTGCCTGGTCAAGTCCATCAGAGAGATAACCATCTTCATCTCCATCCTCTTCATCTAGTGCACACTGGGTAGAACCTCCCCAGGTAGCCATTGTCCTACTGAACATTGAAAATGAGACATGTTTGGGAAAGAAGTTGTTTTGTTTTAATAGTTTGCTATAAACTTAACAAACAATCTCTTGACAATTACAAGTCCACCAATTAATCAAGATGCACCAAAATTCATTTATCTAACAGAAATGAAACTAGTATTCTTCTGATATCAGGACAATTGAGTAAAATATCATGCTGTTTTGGAAAATTATTCTCTCTACAAATGTTGTAAAGATGAAGAAACAATACTCCACGCATTTGGCATTTTCCAGGAATTCCTCTCTTCTTTAGTGAGGAGAAGAAATACACTGGGGGGAAAAAAACATCCTAAGAACTGGGATGTGACCAACTTGACTTTAGAAGTCAAGAAATCCATCTAATGTTGTTGTACCATCACCCAACAATTCTCAGATAAAAATGAGAAGTAACTCAAGACCAAAATGTCACAAAATAACAGAATCACCCACTGACTGACAGCAAAGAGAAACTCATGTTCTTACTTCTCTGTCCTACTCTGCTGGGGAGTATGCTGAACTTCTGACCCCTCACTTTTAACTGATGCAGCAACAGTAGATATTGTTTCTGCCAGTTCTCTCCTCCTCTGATGTTCAGCCATTAAAGCTTCAAGTTGCTTTCTTCTCCGTCGCAATTCTTCTCTTAGAATTTCATGTCTTCTCATCTCAGACCATAACTGTTTCCAATAAAATTGAAAGCATCAGAGTATAAACAAACAAAAAAAACTCAACTAAAACCTTACAATTTCACACTTTGATACTATACTGACATTTTTGTCCAGGCACTGGTATCAATCACACTACAAAAACGCACCCAAGTAGGAGCCATCTTAGGAGCCATTTTAGAATGTAAAAAGGTAATTAAACAAATGAGGATAGTTACTTTTTTTTAAATAAGACAAATAGTGCAGGCTTCACAGAACCCTTTCTAATCCCACAACTCATTTCAAAGGTTAGTCAAGAAACAAAAAAATATTTTTATCTAATATATTATATAATGTTGTAAATGCACATTATTGACCTCTCACACTTACATCATAGAGAAAAAAAAAATATTCCAGGAGCATGAAGAAAAGTACAGCACTATCAATATTTACTTCTTTCCAGAAATGAAGTAAATCAATTATGTACATTTCATTATCATGGCTACTATATTACACTCTCTTCATATAAAGTACTTAAAATAATGTGTCCAAGTTTCCTTTTTTTTTTTCTTCCCCCTTTCCACATAAAGTACCAGAATATCAAGTATGAAATACCTCATTGCCTACTGGTACAGATTCACCAAATTCAAGTAAAGGCTTGCCAGCTGTGTTACACTCATTCATGGCTGGATTTGAGGCTGCTGGTGGAGTCTGTCTATTTGCTGGACTGTTACCCAGGCCAGCAGACTGAAAGAAAAGGCAGAATGACAAAAGAACTTAACCTTCTAAAATTTACAATTCAGGCTTCTTCAGATAGCAGAATTATTTAGTAATTTTAGAATCCACTAAGTACTTACTTCAGAGGTTAGTCAGAAGCAAACAAAATTTGTTTTTAATCTAATGTATTATTGTAAAATGCTGTAGACACAATGTTGACCATTTACTGCTCATTTCATATGAAATCATCTTTAAGGAGTATGAAAAAAGCACAGTACTGCAGTTCAGTTTGAATACAACAAAGTGTTGGTCATGCTTATGAGACACAGTATTGTTTGACAGCAGCAGAACAGGCAAATGACTAATAAGAATAAAGATGCAGTGACTAGCAGATACCGCAGACAGACAAATTCCAAACTAAAAATAATATAGAAGGTCCTCCATTTTGGAGACTTTAACACTGCAATTTTTGAGGACAAAGAACAGTGAAATTAGAGTTTGATTTAACAATCACTGAGCAAGAACTTCAATGGAACTAGATAGCCAGAGCTCTTTTCTAGCTTGGGAAATCCAAATTCTTAATGTAGAACACAATTAGTAACAAGTTTTTTAAAGCAAGATTTTTTTACTTGGGAAAAATGGTGTGAAAATAATGTTTCACTCTTCATCAGCCTAAGAAAGAAAGAAAGTCTACCTACTTGAAGATCAGGACAAGCTTTCTGTAACACTTCAATTTTTTCTTGAATTTCCATTAGTTTTCTTCTTTCTTCTTGTAGCTGCTTAAGTTCCTGCTGCTGCTGCTGAAGTTTAGCTTCATAAAACTTCTCTCTGCATGGATACGTTACCCACATATTATTTGGCAAGAAGTCATCTAAAGAAAGATTCTACGGTCCTCAGACAAAGACATACCTTGCTTTTTCATTCAGTCCTACATCTTTTTGCAACTTATTGGTACTAACTCGAACATTGTTTGGTTGTTGCTTTCTCTCTTCCATCTCACCCAAAAAGTCACCCAAGTTAGATGCATTTGCAGTGAGTACTTGAGGTTCTGGATCATCATCCTGAAAGGAAGACAAGAAAGCAATCAGACTATTTTCAAACTGATGAACTGAATATAAGAAGTTCATTTTATCAAAGCAATTCTTTTTCCCCTAACTAAGTAGCCTGAACATCCTGCCGTTCAAACTAAAGAGGTCATTATCTTCATGTTACCCTGACTTAAAGCTAATTTAAATTATCTTAATAAGACAATTCAAAGTTACAAAGCTCAAACTGGTGCAACTATTGATATAAATACAAAATAATGTGTGCCTCATTCTGGGAGCCTGAACCACTTGAATTGTACTTTACACCAGTGACTGAGAAGATAGAAATACATGAGCACATCAAGAAAAAATAGTGGAAGGAGAACAGAACAGAAGACAACTGAGGTGAAGACTCTTAATTACTGTAATAATAATAATTACATGAAGTATTATTAGCTTAAAATAAAACTGAAACTACTCTGAAAAGTGATTTTTTTCAAATATTTTAGAAACAATTTTCTGCAAGGTTTCCTATTCCATTTTTTTTGTTATTACAGCTTTTTCATTTCAAGTTCTCAATTAAATCTCCAAATTCTTGTAGCCACAGCATTCTTCTTTCAACACAACCTTTCTGAATATAGAACCTGCTGAAAAGATCATCACTGGCTAAGCACAACGTAGCCATCCAGATCTACAACACTGTTACTGGTAAGCACAAAGGTTCAAACCTTTCAAATATGAAGACTGAACGTATGTCTCTGTGTTTTCTTTTTAAGATGCTGTATTCTGTTTAATTCTGACTTATAACACTATACAGATAAAAATCTTTGTAGCGGTCATAAAAAACAAGCCCAATCCAGATGCGGGGAATTTTGACAGCAATGTAGTCTCAAAATAGCTATACATCATCTATATTGCTACTATTACTAAAAAAAAAAAAACATGTACTAGAATTGATTTTACAGCTCTTACAAGAAACCTTTACAGTCTGTCATACTTACATACACTCAGTATACAGACATGAAATTTAAATCTTTAAATCCAAGTTTTCCACAGAGATAAAAGACTCAAGAAAAGCTCTTTTTAACAAAAATAATGAATATAAAAAAGAAATTCAAATGAAAAACACTGTCAAATATATAGCTGGCTCTCAAAATCCTTAACAAACAACAAGTTTCCCAAACATCTCAGTTCCAACATACTGCAACAATTCCAATAGATCTGAAGACTTTAATCAAATCCGATATAACACTGCAAAACCTAGGATTCCAAAACTAAAACAAACATCCATAATAAGTTTAAAACCATAGATCAAAATAATTTAAAGAATACTAGACTTCCTGTTTTGTTTTTGTTGGTTTTTTGTTGTTGTTCATAAAAGCCAGTGCCAAGATAAAGTGTTACAGTCATTCTTGTCTTAGATCAGCATCCCAAGAAAATTCCAGATTTGAACTCAGTGTCACCTTCAACTTCAGACAAATCAACTATTGTCTCCTTTTTCCCAGTCTATCCTATATTGTAGACTAGCAGAATTTTTCCCCACTAAAAGTTCCACATTACATGAAATAATGAGTTACATTTTCATGCACAGATTTATAGTCATAGAATACCTGCACCATAGCAGCAAGGTTTTGCAACTGTCGAAGTTTCTGCTTTGCAGCCATAAGCCTATTAATCTTCTGCTCAAACTCGGCATCTCCTGCAACATCACCCAGGCTGCTTCTGTGACTAGATATGGAATCTTCACTAGCTCTATCTTCTTCCACTTCATCGTCGTCACCTTGGGGTAGGTCAGTATCTTTGTCATCCTCCCTATTATGACAGTCTGGAGATGTGGAGAGGGAAGAGGGGAGTAAACAAAACAGTATCAATTACATTACTGAAATGCCTACTTTTATTTAATTACTACGCTTCAGAAAAATACCAGCCTACTGTTAAGACTTGAACACTTCGAACAAAGTTCTCCCAGATGTTGCATGGCTATCAGAATCACAGATGCACTGAGACCTAAATTATTAGATTTTAGAACATACCTAGAGTAGAAGATATTTTTAGAGTCCTTATATTAGCAGCAGATCGATTATTTATTTCACAGTCTGTATTAAGATGTCTTCCATCTCTGTTATTAGTTCCACACTGTACATTTGAGTTGCTATTTATTTCACTCCAACTACTCATTCCTTGAGGGTTTCTAGGGTGAAATGCATTACTCATGTTAGCTTCTTAAGAATTGGTCTTGATGGAATACTACTTCAGCCATTTTATTGACTCACTTTTATGAATGTCTTATTTTCTTAATCCTTTGGAATTAAAAAAAGAAAAAATCTCCTAAAATTCACTTGCAAAATTAGTCCAGACATTGAGAATTCCCAATATCCATCTCTCAGACAGACATTTCCCCCCAAAAAATAGATAAATACATGAAAATCAGAAGCAGCTACAAATTATTTCCCTACTCAAACTGCAGCAGTATCAGTCTACAAGAGGATTTCAAGGTGTACGTTTTTATAAATAGCTTCGTATGATTCATCACCAGGTTAGTATTGATTTCTGCAGAGATGCACACAACTATCCTATTACTATAGCTCAAAATGAATCTATACACTGAAGGTTGCTTCTGCTTGAACTTCCTAGCTCTGGGACTGTTCATCTTCCAGAGGAATTTCACACACATTTCAGTACTTGAGCCTACAGATCAGCATTTGCAATAGAATAGGATTATTACTAACCTGTGTAAGTTACATAAAAATAACCCTTAGAATAACTTTTCCAAAAATTTCATGTGAAAAATGGATTACTTCTTGTTCACTGAAATCTTGCATTGATTCAGGAAACCTATGACAACTTAGCTACAAAGACTGAGGATGACAAAATATATAATAACCTAATATTTGTAACAGGCTGTGGATCCCCATGTTCAGAATCACTTCCTGAGTCCTCTGTTTCTTCCTCTTCCTTAGTGTTTTCATTCACAGCATCTGTCATCATATCAGATGTTTGCTCATAGTAGTGAACTAGCTCACGTAACTCATTCAGTCTCTTACGAACCTCATTTAGCTTCCTGAGGGGAAAAAAAAGAAAACAGAACAGAGGGCAGTATTAATTAAATCTATGGAAACTGAGAAAACAGATAGGTACATTTATAGTTCTTAACATCTACTGTAATTTTTCTACTGTAATAAACTTCTGCTTGAAGCTAAGGAGCATTTTACTGTCTCAGACCATTTACTAAGTAGCCTGTTAAGTAAATTAAAACACAAAACAGTTTCTTAATACAGAATTTACTACAACACACCTAAAACTCAATACTAAAAAACCACTAAAGCAAATAAATAAATATTTTTTTTACTGAAGCTTTTCTGTTGGATTTAGATTGTCATCCTCTTCACTCTCATTCTGAGAAGCCAGGGAATCAGGAGGATAGGGAGCAGATGCCAGACTATTTGATTCACCATTGATAACAGTTACTATGCCCACAGGAGCAGAAGCAGCTGAAGTTGTACTTCTTTGGTCAATACTCCTCTGAGGAGAACTTGAAGCTGGAAAAACTACAAAGAAGAAACATACCTCTTGAAAACAGCATTCAAAAAGGAACCTACCTAACCAAATCACATTAAAAGGTAATTACAGAAAATATTAACAGCATTCAAAACAGCAGTTAGCACCTTCTTTTCTTCGAGGAACAACTTCTGCATTAAGTTTCACGACAGGCAATGCTAACCAGAATAGGCAGCTTCCATAAACAATACTTAAGTCAGTTCTTTTTAGCTTTATCAAACGTTAAGTGGAAATTTTCAAGCTGCCAATGTGCCCAAAGAGTTCTTTTAAGGACTAACTTATGGTTGAATTGCTTTTGATGAAATTTAATGTTTAAACATTTAAAATGATGAAGAGTTCTAGTAACTTTCTTTCCTCAACTGGAAAGCTCTTACAGCCACATGCTTCAGAACACAGCCTTGAAATATGCTTACTTTATCCAGCTATATAAAAATCATAACCAAATGCACTCAAACAGTGCATGTTAAGTACAGGTAAGAAGAATGACTTTTAGAAACATAAGCATCAAACCAGTCTGCTCTTCTACAGGAGCAAGCTGGAAGGATTCGTTTCTTAATCAGACTACCATATAATTGCCTTTCACCAATTTCCAGCCATAGAACAAAGCTTCACCAGGGCAAATGCAAGTCTAGAAACAGAAACATGTAGCAAACAGTAGGCCCACATGGGAGACTTCAAGAATAGAAAAATCATCTGAGGACAGGCCAAAACACCCAGTCCATTCAGACAGCTGACTTCCTCTGGCATGACCTGACATTCAAGTACATTCCACTAGTGGATAAGAAAGTTCTTGGACAGTGGAAAAAAAATAAAAATCAAACCCCACCATGCAGTAGCATTATTAACAACTGAAGCACACAGTATATAAATACAGAAGTAATGTGATAATATACAGATCATTCTCATTCTGATTCGTGCAGTGTACCATATGAAGTGTTACTGATAAGCCTTGAAAAAAAAAAAAAAACCAAACTTAGTTATCACAACCTCACAAATCAACAGCAATAATATTACAATGTATAAGTGCTATCTATTTTGCTTGTCAAGCTCTCCAGCAAGTATGACATATTTACTGCACTAAAAACCAGGTATGCAATACTGCCCACCCCATCACAGCTTCATCACCTACCACAGGGATCATTCATTAGACATCTGCAGGGCCACCTTAAAAACATACACGCTGCGTGCTTTTAAACCTGCACTCTTGAAAATGGATAATTCTGTTTAAATAAACTTACAGGAGGAATTATTTAGATGTTGGTCACGAAGCGTATGCAGTTCTCCTAACAGTTTATCCATTTTTTGCTTTTTCCCCTGCAACATTCGCATCTTGTTGAAAAGCTGTGCCTTTTCATCTGACCGGTGTTCTGACACTGAAGAGTTTCGGCTTTGTGAAATCTCTCTGGTAAGTGAAAGACTTTCTGCTTGCCTTCTATTGTCTGGTACAGACTGAGTCTAAAAAGAATAACTTCATTTCATTCAAAGCACCACGGGTAAAAAGCAAAATAAATTTTAACGAACAAAAAGGCCTCTTATAGATTTGATAAGCTCAGCAGCAGAACAAAGAACTTCATCACTTAGCTAATAGATAACCCTCAGGAACACAGAGATGCTGAGCTTGCAGGTTTGGAGGAACTCCAATTACTCTACCAGCGGAGGAATAAAAATAAAAAGACAAATATTTAACTGTTCAAAAGAATAAGAAAAACAGACAATGGTGGAACTTCAGTGTGCAACACAAAGACTGACCTGAGAATCATGAAGTTGGTTATGAAAGCGCTGAATTAAGTCAATTAATTCTTCATTCAATTCTGATGTAAGGCTTACTCCAGAAACACTACCTGTTGTCTCTGTTACAACTGGGCATGAAGAAAAAAGCAGGAAAAATGTAAATACTTGTTCACAGAAATAAAGACCATTTGATAAAAACGCTTTGTTATGTGAGCATACAGAACCTTAAAGAAGGGTTTGCATTTTTTGTAAAATATAAATATCAGTGCTTATATTTCTACAAATTCAAAACTTAAAATATAAAAAAAAAAGAAAGCAAATGTTATAAGAACTAGTTTTCCAGCCTGCCCTCTAGTTAAGCTTTATGATAACTTTTATGAGGAAGAGGCACACAACTCTAGCAGCCTAACTACAAAGTTGCTCCATGCAAAGACATAATTTCTTAGGACCACACACCTCTGATTACTTAATTCCCAAAGAAAATACAACAGCATTTGTGGAGCAGTGGAAGAAACAATGTTACATGCAGAACTCTAACTGAAGTTGAAAGAACTAGACTGCAACAAACAGGTCTAAGACAACTCATATGTCAACAGCACACCAAGTCAAGTGCAATTCTTTGCTCTTCGAAGACAGAACTTTTGAGAAACTCTGCTGGCAACCTTTAGGCATATCACAGAGAAGCCTCTGTCCAAAGGACAGGTTTTAAAAAGCTGGGAGTATATGAAGACCTGTTAGAAGAACGCTTTTACATTGAAGGTCATGTTATAATGGTGGTGCTCTATTGTCAAAAGCATCCCACAATTTTAGAGATCTACTTTCATATTTGCTTGTGTAATTGCTACAGTAACTTCCTCCTTTCCCTGATTAACCCATTAATCTATCAGCGGCTATCAAATGGTCAAGAAGCCACCCGTTAAAAAACAACAACAAACAAACCAGAGCAACACAACCAACCAAACAACAACAAGAGAGCAAATAAAAGCTTCAAACTACTAATTGCCTATGCCCAGAAGGTTGCAGCAAGGGAGACAACACCCTCTATATGCTCCAGTTCCCTACAAATGCCTTAATACATTAACAGAGACAAGAGGCGAACTCCTAACCTGACACGGTAGTCCAATTCTTAGGGAAAAAAGAAATTAGGATTTTACAAGTAGACAACAGAAATCAGCTGTGTCATTTTTAACTGACTTGTCATTTTACAATACTATTAAAAAAAAATACATTAAATTATAGCCTTGCAGTAAGACTTCAAAGAAGAGAATTACTAAAGAACTTTTAATATGTATTCTACAATTCCAGCATTAATCATTCAATCAGCAAGTTAAAATAACTATTAGAGATGCTTTCATACCAGACTCATCCACAACAGCAACCGCTTGCTCTGCTTTATGCTGCAAAGCAAGAAGAGCTGCCTGTCTTCCTTGAAGAGCCTTCAATTGTTCCTGCTGTTGTAGCATCCTTTTCAATAAATCGTGCTGCTTCTTCAAGTTCTCCAACTCCTCTTTAGCTTCCTGTTGAGGATCTCTGGCCTGCAAGATACAGAATAACATTACCATAACCAGGATAATTTATCTGGAAAGTACTGCTGTTAGAGGTATCAAAACAAGCAAGAATGTAACTGAATCAAAGTCAGGCAAGAGTTAAAGGTGAAACTGTTTCACTTTTCAGTCCTCTTCATCAAGGAGTTTTAGACATAAAGTAAGAAAAAAACCTGTATCATCAAGATACGCTTACCACTCTCAGGATTATGTTTTCTTCAGAAACAGTCAGCCATTTAACACACCCCAAAGACTAATCTAAGCATCCCTCTGCCCTTCGAAGCATCAATTCAGAGCAACGCATTAATATAAGAATGCTAAAGCTAAGCAACATAAGGCACAGCATCATGGTGTTTCAAATGATACAAGACTCCAACTATTTACTAGTTTAAAATGTATTTTAAGTAGAAAGTTTTACACAGTTATTCTGTTTGAACGTATAACAGGTATTCACTTTTGTACTCAGTATTTTTGGCATAGGCAATAAATCACTTCAGACTTAGGTAAATCAATTTCAAAACAGGAACTCCCTCTATAACATATTTCCAAGCACGTGGAAACAAATCTGAAGGAATGGAAGCGTGCTGTATGGTTAAAATACATTAAAGTTACTTTCCGGGGCCCACCTTAATTAATAGCTGGAAATTTGTCTCAAAACCTTTTCAGGAATTAAGTGTTTTAAGGAGACATCCACTGGTAAAGGTCCTGCTTCTGTTTAAGTTGATTTATCATATTACAGAGACAAAAACATTGAAAAGATTGCCTCCTTTTGTTAAGAGTCAACATAAACACAATATTAAAAGAATCAACATCTTTTCATGCAATGCTGATTTCCTGAAATAAAAAAATTCTCCCAGTGTGAAACAAATCCAGCACTGAAAGTCAGGATAGAAGCATGCGTCTTATTAAATATTTCTGGGCAAAAAAAGAACACTCAGCTTCCCAGAAGATAAAGGACAATACACCCAGAATTCAACACTTCTCAAAGAAGTGTCAATACAACTGGAGCTGAACATTCTGTCTAAATTCTTATCTTACACATATATAGCAGAGAAAAGGCAAAATAGAGTACAGAAAAATGAAATCAACACAGGAAGAAGGGGAAGAAAGGGAAAAGCAGTATGTGCCTCCAACTTTCACTCAATTGCTAACTCAAACACCAGATTTACCTGTGTTCATTAATAAACAAAAAACATTTTTCAAGCCTAATATTTCTACATTTTGTTTGATTAATATTTGATTTACATGTTTTGCTGTTCTGTTTCTGGGAAATCAGGAAGAGCCATCTAACATCACATAAAATCAGAACACCTTCCCCACAGCTGATATAGTTACGTGTTATAGGTATTATTTTCTCTGTCAGTATTAAGACTTCAGAAGAGAAAGTTGTCAAATACCTCTAAAGAAAACAGCTCCAGCTAAAGAAAATCAGTGGCAAGGCGAATGAACACAGGTAAGCAAGCCGAATAGAAACATTTACTGTAACAAATACATTTGGAGCAAGTTAACAGGGACAAAAATGAAAGAAAATCAGCATGTTTAAATCCTGATTTAGAGACTAAAATACTGTTTTTGAAGCGCACCTTTGAAGGCAATCCATGTTTTTGGCTCTAAATCCTACAAGGCCAGAGCAACTCAGACACTTTTCCCTTTCGGGTTTGCTGTAACATCAGCATCTGTAACCTCATGAAGCTGAATGCCCCTAGTTTGTCCTCAATGCAGGGACAGGTGCTCATACTAGAAGATTCCCCCTTTATTAAATAGTTAAGCATATTACATTTTGAACACGTGCTCTGGCTTAACATGCATTTTTAAACTGCAAACGTATCCACTTCTATCTTGTCACATACTGAAAACTACTATCAAATAAAACCTACTAAACAGCATAGTTCCACTCTTTCTTACAGTTTTAGCAATGAAGCTCCAGATGGAAATCAACCTTATAGAGCAGGAGCATTCATTCTGCATAAAAAGAGAAATTAACTACAAAATGAAGTATCAAATAGAAAACAAACTCCTTTTCTGAGATGAAGAAAAGTGCAAGTTTTCATGCATCTATCTTAAAATTTGTACCGGTCCTCTTCTACTTTTTTTTTTCCCCAAGATTTTATGAAGTTAAATGCATACACTCCATACATATAATTGCACTTCTCTTACAGTGACAGAGTTCTTCCAGAACTAAACATAACTACAAAGACTCCTTAAGATTGTAACTGCTGCTTTTGTACCAAGCACTTCACTTACCATTTGCAGAGCACTCTGAGTACTAACTAGCTACAACAGTACCAACTACTAATTCTCCTCAGAAAAGTATTGAAAGATGCAATACAGAAGTTGCTGTTAAAATGCTTTCTTAACTAGAACAAAAACTGCTTGCAATGTAAAGACTCTACAGATAGGAAAGGAGATGATCTGTGTACTTCAGAACTAATTCAGAATATATTTTCTAAAAGGTACCCACCCCTCCAACTAAAGGAAAGAAACTTCTGAGCTAAGCCAATACCTCTACCATATCACTAAAAGGACACTTAACCAATGGCCCACTAATAGTTCATTTATAACCCTCTCATCTTACCCAACAACAGCAAGATTCCTTATCAACAGAAAAACTTAAAGAGATGAAAAGATGCATAGAAAATTATTCACTCCTACACTAATGTCATGCATGCATCCTTCCACCAAAATATATATTTAACCTTCTAATCTACTTTTAGGAAAGGTTAAAGATTATCTTTAAAAATTCATCAAGAAATACTACGTTGTTTTGACAGAATCATTGTTCCCATGTATACTCAAAAAATCCTGCACACAGGGATACCTCCTGAACAGAAGGCTAAGGGATTTATTAACTTGAACTGCATATCATGTCACCATCACAGCAACCAAAAGAAAAAAAAAAAAACATAAAACAGCAAACACTCATAAGACTTAATTTCTGGCATTTTAATTACTAAATTACTAAAAGGCAGCTTACCATGGTATCTGATGCCTCAGCTTGCACATCAGTGTTTAGCGATGTGCTCTCACCTATAGAACCAGATCTCACAGCTGAATCTATAGTCCAAACACCATCATCCTCATTTTCTCTAGCCTGAAATATTTCAGTGGCATAAACAAAAAGCTACATAAATGGAGCAGTACAAGTGAATTATGGAAGGTACTACATCTTATAAACCAACACCCCTAGAAGCACCATCGAAACAGCAACAGTCAACTTCTTTAAAAAAAAAAATAAACTGAAGGTTACAGTGCAGAAACAGATAGATTATGTTCTCAAACTTACAAGCATCTTTTGCAAAAATTTCAGATAGGATTTCTCCTGCTCTTTAAGGTGATCTATAAGGTGTGATAAACGCTCAACATTGGCCGATCTTTCATTTTTCTCTACAAGATCATCCCGCATGTAGCTGGCCTTAGCAATATAGTCGCGAATTTGAACTAGTCTGCTGACAATCTGTAAAGACACTGTAATTACTGAATGCATTCAGCAATAGCTGTAAGGTATTTAATGCACAAAACAAGGTGAAAGCAACAGCCAAGTAGCAATAATAAAGTGACACACTGTACTTTCAATCATACAAGCACATTTATGTAAGTGGTTAAAAGATAAAAGCCTTTAAGAACAGATAAAAGCATGCATGAAATTGTAAGGCTGAAGCACAGGGCTTCTTGTTGACATCAGCTTAAACAGAACCAAGCTGATAGTACTAACATACTTAAAATACTTAAAATACTTAACTATGAGACTATTTCTTAGAACTCTATAACAGACAATCAAATACAACTTCTTTTACTTCCTTCTAATAATTAGATTTCTAAAGGACAATACATTGCTTTTGGTTCAATCTTTTCCTCTGTCTGCCTCTTAGAACTGCGGGAATAATATTTCTAATACAAAATAAACTACAACACTCACACTAAAAATTCACAAAAACACTGAAAAATAATAGTATAACTGACACCATTTGAAGAGCCCATATTCCACAGACATTACAGACTATACAAGTACCTGGCTACTATCCATAGCTGGTTCTCCTCTTCCATCTTCTTGAACAGACAGCTGACCATTTTGAAAGAAATCTTTGTTTAGAGCAGCTCCAAACAGGTCTTTGCATTGCAATGGCTCCCCACTTTCCTTTTTTTGGGAACCTGACACAGGATCTTTGCTTTTGTTAGTGTTTATCTGCAGTGACAAGAAGTTGAACGGTTTTTTGCTTTCATTGAGTTGACGTTTGTTGTTAGCAGCAGTTGCCCTGCCTTGAGAATCACTTCCAATGCTTCTCTATGAACAAAGAGAACAAAGAATAATTATGTTTATTTGTGATCTTATAGTTCCCTCATAAAGTACTGACTTGACAACAGCTAAACAGTGCCAGTAATCTTTGTCATACAGTTTTCAGAGAGCAACCCACACTCTTGGAACATCTGAAAAGCAGAAGAGCTCTGTAATTCCACAGAGAGCTTAGCTCCTCATCCTTGCTCTGGCCTCTACCTTTGTTTTAGTGAAAAGCACCCTACTTCTTCAAGTAAATTTGAAAGAACACATACATATTATTTTTTAAGTAGCATAATAGCTTGTAGGATATGCTATCTCAAACTTTTCTTTAGAAACTTCTGAATAGCTACTTGATCCCGTAACATATATTTCTGGAGGAAGCTCTCCCAGGCTTTATGTTCTAATGAATCACACTTCAAACATAATCATTGCAACTCTAACAAGTTAATAACAAGCTTTGGCAAAGATTAACAAATTTCTATTCTGGAATTGTTAGTAATTAAACAATAAATTTGTGCTAACAAATTAACCTCTCCAACTTATTGCATTGGACAAGAGAGGGCCAAACATGTCAATATTCCTAACAAAGCAGTTAGGGCTAAAAAATTTGTGTCATACATTTCTCCACATTACAGAGGTACAACTTCTACAGCTGCTCCTCCTCTGCTTAAGCTGCAGTGATAGTAGTGTTCAGAGTCGTAAACTATGCCACTTCAGAGCAAACTTTCAGAATAAAATAACAGACTTTTAAGTGCAGACAAGTATGATGAATAAAAAATACTAGTTTGAGGACACAAAATTTGTTGATGATTGAGAGGAACAAAGTAAAGACAGCTGGGAGAGCCTAAGGCCCAGAAAAGCCAAGTCTCCGAACTTTCCTCCAGTTAAGAAACTAGAATTACTATTTGGCTCCCACAGTGCATTTAAGCTATGCACTATGAAAGCCTACTTTATTTGTCTGACAAATTATTAAGAGATGAATGAACAACTTCTGTACTCACATATACACATATAGTGAAAGCTAGTGTTCACACAAACCTGATCCAGATCACTGAAGTTTATTCTTTGTTTAAGTCTTTCTAATTCAGCCTGCTCTGGAACAGACATCTGGGTCACATATCGAGCATGAGGAAAAGTGTGAGGAGTTCTGGTCTTTCGTCGTCCCATTCCAGGTGAAGATTCCGGAGATATATCATTAGTAAGCCTTGTTTCAGCTTCTCCACCAAGCTTTTTCTTGTTTTTTTCTGATGATCTGTTTGCTTTTTTCTGTTGACTTCCCCAGTCCTTAAGACAAAGGAAAGGAAAAGAAGAAAACTCACATTTACTATCCACGTAGACAAAAAAGTAAACTTTTAAATTTAGCGAAACAGAGTTTACTTCTATTTTAAAATTAAAAATCATAAATAAAAAATAATTTTCTTTGCCACTTATGTGAAACTTGTCGGGCAATTTCTAACCCATACAAGCTCATAATAATTTGTGTAAAATAAAGCCAAAATTCTTCTTCGGCAAATACTCTTAGGCAGTTTAGAACTTTTAGGAATAAGAGTTCTCAGTTTTAACAATACCTAGCATGCTTGTATGTCTAGTTACTTTATTTTATTCAGAACACCTCCCATAAATACATTTATGGAGTGTACAATCTCTGCATTATACCTAACAGTTGCATACATATACCTCAATTACTTTTCTTGATTTCATAGATACTTAACTGAAAAGCTGTACTGGCAGCGTTCAGTTTGGCACTGTTGCCTGCCATAACAGAATCTACTTATTTCTTTCAATGTACCACATAAAACAACAACTGAGGGCTAAGGTGAATCATACCGTGTTGTTCAGCCGGTCATCAAGGCTCTCATTACTCCAGCTAGGCAAGTCCTGATCATTCATGCCTTCTTCAAATGGGCCGCCTCCTGTTGCCATGACAAGCACCCAAAAAAGAATCTAAAAGGAACAGCTGAAAGAAATAAGCTGCATTAAAGTCAGTTTATGCAGAGTTTTTTTTGCACAGAGATTTCTGATATGACAATTACATATTCTAACAACTAAACCTACTAATAAAAATGTAGTACAGATAATGTCATTAAACATAAAAGAAGTAGCTGGGAGGCTGCTGCAGATGTTTTTTGTTCCTTTTTCACAGACTTCATAATCTCCAGCTTTTCTTTTTAACTCACTGCTCTTAGGAAGTAAATGCGTTTTTTTTCTGAAGATCTTAATATCCCTCACTTCAAAAGTACCCTGCGGAAGTCCTTGCAAAGATTACTTTGAGATTTATCAAGCCTGCAATTCTAGGTCCAGTGACATCTATTTAATACCAGGCCTCCAAAATTGCTCACTTTTGTTGAACTTCGACATTTTTTTTCAATTTTAAGATGCTAACAGCAAAATACTGAAGGCAATATTTGCTGATAAAACACACAAGAAGCAGACATCAATAAAAGCATTCCTACTTTCCCTACTAAAAGTTATTTAAGCAGGGAGTGCCATACTCCTTACACATCAGTTTCTAGCAAAAACAAAATAGTTTTCCTACAACTTTGATTTTCTCTTTAACAGTGTATTTCTGTGCAGCAAAAGGAATCTGTTATTTTTCAATTTTTCACATTTATTTCCAGTTTTGACGCAAATAGTGAAGTTGTTTAAGCTGGAAGACCAAAAACAAAGTATTCCTTTGTAGTGAAGAAATTAGCTTAGGCTGCTCAATAGCTGTACCCACCACCAGGAGGCAATAAGAACTGTGAACTTTAACTGCTGCTAACACAGCTCTACTGTGCTACAAACTGGTTCTTTATAACATCTGTGTAACAGAAAGTTCTGTTACAGACACAGAAGAAAAACAGTCTTGCAGAAAATTACTTTCTGAAAGTAAGCTTAACTACGAAATTGGAACATAATTCTAGCTTTGCCTTTAACTGGAAAATGAAGAAAAACTTTATTTCTTTGCATTTTACTGCATCTTACCTAGTATCTGCATAATCAAACCCAGGAAAAAAAGAAATAATGAAGCTTAAAGGCATGCATCTTGTTTAACTCTTACAGCATTTCACCACAATCCCACAGTACAGTCCTTCAAGTAGGTTCAGTTGTACAAAGCAGTATTTTTATGCAACCACAACCAAACACCGGATCACGAAGGAAATGGGATCTACAAGGTACAGCCATTCTACCATAACAGCTGCAACTGGCAGTGGATCAAACTCAGCCATGCTAACAGACACCAATTAGCTTCTACACTCACCATCAGAATCACAGTGCACATATAATTAAGTCTGCTACTTTGGAAACACAGATCTGCTCCTTACTGTCCTTGCACATTCATTCAGAACCCTTTTTTGCTTGCACTTGCTAACTTCTGTGATGAAACAATTAGAGAGTTCCACCTACAAACTAGCCAACAAACTGGCCAACAAACAAAATCTGAAAAGGAGAAAAAAAACCCTATGAATTTTGAATCAAAACGGCTCCCCCATCTGGCTAATCAAACAGCTGCATATGCTCTGGCTGTTGGCTCAAGGAAAGCAGATAGAAGCCATGCCATCAGTAAGAGCAAAACATAAGGTAAACCTATAAAACCACACATCCTATGCAATTTTCACTCAGGGGAACTGCCAAATTAATTTAGAAAATAAAAACATGATGTTCTTTCACATTTTTCATGTAAAAATGCAAACATCTTACGAGAAGTTAACAGGAAAACTCTTCCACCAACACAAGGTGTACAAGACAACCATTCAAAATAAACCCATAGTTATCAATAAGGCTTATTTTAGAAAACAGCTATGTCTTTTTAAGAACTTTTTAATTACAGAAAAGCCATTCAGCTGCACAGATGTGCAAGACCCAACATTTTAACAGGCACTCTGTGATGACCTCCACCACTAAGCATAATGAGTTCATCATGACGAGATTAGAGACCATCTGGGGTTACATTCAAATTCAGTAAGCCACTTCCTCATAATACTGTTATATAATTCTCCTAAAACCGCAGTAAAATAATTTTCTCCTAGTTTCCACTGAAAAAAAAACCCAACAAACTAAAAAAAAAAAAAAAAAAAAAAA